CACGTAGAGGCTCGTTTAGGCTCGATTAGGCTCGCGAGCCCACTAAGTTGATCACGAGTCGAGCTCGAACTTCATTTTAAGGCTCGTATCGAGCTCGAGCTTCCTCAAAATTAAACGAGCCGAGCTCGAGCTTGGTCAGGCTCGGGCTCGGCTAGGCTCGTTTACACCCCTACCTAAAACCCTAATGGGCCAAGCCCATTGGCTCGTGAAGGGTGTCAATGAATCACAATCCGCCATACAACATCTTCTGGAACATTCTTGAGCATTATCATCTACTAGGCATACTTAGATCAACATGGCACAACAAAGGAATCAATATGACGCATCATGTACCAAGATGGTCCATGATGGCGCAATAGCTTCTTCATGGCACAACAACAACCCTAGTTTTCGATTATTCATTAAAGTTGTCCAAAAAGTGAATCAAATTTTGATTAATTAAAAAAATGAATAATCAATTCTTTTTTCTAATTTTTTTATGAATCATATTATTTTTGTATAATCTAATGATTCATTTCGTTGATCGACCAAAAAAACATGTAAATGATGCACTTCTTACCATTCCTACCAAATATTTACTTCTTAATTCATTTGTATGATTTTTGACGAATCAAAAAAATGAATATTTAAATGATACAAAAATAAAATGTTTTGAAAAGAACAAAATCCAAAAAAATGCATCGATGTTTCATTTTTGCGATGATTCACTAAAGCTGTTTAAAAAATAATCAAAACTTGATTAAGTAAAAAAAATCATCAAATGTTTTGTCCGAGATTTTTTTTACTATGCAATATACATATCTTACCATTCCTACAAAATATTTATTTCTTATTTGATCTATTTTTTTTTACATAAACTTAAAATATAATTACCCGATAAATCATTTTACTCGTATAATCGATAAAGGCCCACGCACCACCGTCTCATGCTATTAACGTTCGCGTTCAAGAGTTATTAAAAAAAATGTTCGCGTTCAAGACTTCTGCAAGATCTAGGGTTACTTTGGCAAATCGCGTTTCCTGCAAAATTGAGTCCAAACACATCTGAAAATCGAGTTCAAGACGTCTGATAAACCTAGGATAACTTTGGCAAATCAGTTCAATACTTCGACCCTATATACCCTGGTTTCGAAATCGAGTTCTAGGTACCATACTATTTCGTTCTGGACATACTGTCATGCGAAATCTTGTTCTTTTTTCCTCTGAATCAGTTCAATCTTCATTGTTTATAGTTTCTACGCTGATTATTAGTTGTTTTGTATCAGATTTTTTGAAACAAATTACTCTTTTGTTTATATTAGATTATCATATTAGGGCACAAATATCTCAAATTTTGAACTAACTGTATGATACGCTATCTTCCTGTTCCTAACCAGGGGTGGCTGTTCTGACTTCTTGTCATGAAGAGAAGTTATCAGCAATCATCATCCTCGGGTTCCTTTGGACCTCCGAAATCCAAATCCAGACACAATCCAGATGGTATTATTCCATCCTTCATTTATCTGGTTTCATTATATATTCATCTCCTACTTCAATTCGATTTCAATTACACACTTCTTTATCCATTTCCCCTATCAATAATTGATTAAGAAAAACACTAAGCTAAGTGTTTCGACCTAAATGTGATATTTCTCAGGTGATGCCTTTTTGGAGGATGAAAGCACAAAGATCTTTGCCAAAAAAGTTGCAGACCATTACAGTGCAAGAACAAACCAAACCTTGGAAGAGCGAGAAGCAAGTCCCATTATTCATTTAAAGAAACTCAATAACTGGGTGTGTAAAACTGTAAATAAAGCATCACATTGATGCATATATATATATATATATATATATATATATATATATATGTATATATTCTCCTTAGTCATTGATATTATATTCTTTACAAAATGTAGATCAAAAGTGTTCTGATTCAACTATATGCAAAGAGGGGGGATGCAGTTCTTGATCTTGCCTGTGGTAAGGTACTATAGGTATCATACACTTAATCAATTTCCTAAATATCTTCATTAATAACTAAATTAATATTCAAAACTTTATTCTTGATTTTTTTTAAAAAATTAGGGTGGTGATTTGATCAAATGGGACAAGGCAAAAATCGGATACTATGTTGGAATTGACATAGCAGATGGCTCTGTAAGTTTCTTGAAATCTACACATTCGTTTAATAATTGTGAAACTTTTTTTTTTTGTTAAAAAGTTTTGAATTGTAATTTTAATATTTTATAAAATTATGCAGATAGAAGATTGTCGCACCCGTTACAATGGTGATGCAGATCATCATCAACGCCGTAAAAAATTCACCTTTCCTGCTCGACTTTTAAGTGGAGATTGTTTTGAGGTCAATACTGTAATTTTTTTAAAGTTGTTATTTAAAATCTTTCTGTTGTGTAAAAACTAAAAACTAAACTAAAAAACCAGTGTGATGCTTAATTGCTTATAATATATATAAACTTCTTTCAGGTACAATTGGATAAAGCTTTAGCTGATGATGCGCCTTTTGATTTATGTAGTTGTCAGGTGAGTAACTTTTTATATAAAATTGGTAAATTTTTTATATCATTTACTGAAGTAAAATTTTAAAACATTATGTTTTACAGTTTGCTATGCATTATTCATGGTCTACTGAGGCACGTGCCAGAAGAGCATTGGCTAATGTTTCATCATTACTTCGTCCAGGAGGAATATTTATTGGAACAATGCCTGATGCTAATGTTATTGTAAAAAAACTAAGAGCAGGTTACTTTTTTTTATTTTTTTTTAATGTCTTGAATTGCATTTAACTTTTGTTTTCATTCCTAACAAGTTCATATTTTTTCCTTTATTATGAACAGCTGATGGATTGGCTTTTGGAAATAGTGTTTACTGGATTCACTTTGATGATGAATTCTCAGAGAAGGTGAGTTCTTAATTTCTTGTATTACTAATCTTGTTTAAAAAAAAAAAAAACAAATCTCAAAACGATTTCTTGTATTATTTTTTCAGAAATTTAAGTCCTCAAGCCCCTTTGGCATTAAGTATAAATTCCATCTTGAGGTATGTTCTGGTATAAATTCTTGATTAAATTATGTAGAAACATAAAATATATAAAAAAAAAAAAAATTAACATTTTTTTTTGCAGGATGCTGTTGATTGTCCAGAGTGGATTGTCCCATTTCATGTGTTTAAATCGCTTGCAGAAGAGGTAATAAGTAGTTTATTTATTTTTTTGTAATAAAAAATTTCATAATTGGTCCCTGTGGTTTGCAAAAAGTCACGCCGCTGGTCCCTATGGTTTAAAAAATTGCATGAATGACCCTTGGACCAAATTTGAAAATTGTGTCTACCTCAAGGATCAATTCTGAAAATTTATATTTAATATATATAAAAATTTTCAAATTTTCATAATTGATCCTTGAGGTATACACAATTTTCAGACTTGGTCCAAGGGCATTTTGGTCATTTAGAAAAAACTAACTACTCAAAAGTTAAAGTTAGTTTTCGAAACCATAGGGACCAGCGGCGTGACTTTTTTCTTAAACGACCTCAAAGTGCAATCTTTAGCAAACCATAGGGACCAATTATGAAATTTTGCCTAATTTGTACATGAAAATTTATTTACTCTAATAATTGTTTTGAAATCGCAGTATGATTTGGAGCTTGTTTTTGTGAAGAATTCACACGCATTTGTTCATGAGTACATGAAAAAGCCTGAATTTATTGAATTAATGAGAAGACTCGGTGCCTTGGGTGATGGAAATCAAGACCAAAGTAAGTGTTGTCTGAATAAATAAATAAATGAATGTTTTTTTGGCTTAATCCATTAAGTCATTATGTGAGGATCAAGTAAACAATGAATGTTTTTTGTAGCTACACTTTCACCAGATGAATGGGAGGTAGCTTATCTATATTTGGCATATGTTTTAAGGAAGGTAAATAACATTTATTTATTTTCAACTTTCAACATTCAACACATTAATACATGTATTTTATTTTATAAAAAAAAAATACTTAAATCCGGATTTGTGATTTATTTATTTGTTGGATTATAGCGAGGTCAACCAGAACAAAACAGAGGAAATACACGAAGAGACAAAGGGAAGATGCATCTAGAAAAGGAAGACATAACGTATATCAGAAGCTGATTTAATTGAAAACAGATGTTAAGTTTTGTAAAATAATTAAAATTATATTTCCTTATTTTTTCTTTTTGGCTTCAAAATAGAAAGCCTTTGTTACACACCATGATTTCATAGAATTTCACGTTCTGTATAATTTGTATTCTATCAGTTGCTAAGTTTAGTTATTTTTATGCTGAAAGGATTTATGCCTATTTATTTGTTAAGTAATTACAATTTATCAATCAAATTGGTAATTTAAGGTTTTGAGGAGGTATTTAAAGGATGAAAAGAATCTATTATGGTTTATTTTTAACAATTTTCGACAAAGAGAGCAGAAGAAGTAGAGGGTAGTAATTTTGGAAAAGCAAGAGAATGAATTATTGATTTTATGATGTTCGCAATCTATAAATACATGAGAATCTATTAAATGTAGGATTTCTCGTTAGTGTGGTAAACATTATGATATAAATCAATGGTTTAAGGGTTTGGGTTTGGTTGTTTTGATGTTAAGAGCGACATTAACCAATTTAGGGTTTGATCATGTGAAAATATTAGTGGAAAGTGGCCTTGTTAAACGAGAAGGTGAATACATAGTAACTTTGACACTCTTATAAAATTATGTATTTTTCTATGCCACGTGTGCATTCTTATATACTATGCTTATATAAGTCTATCTGCTAATGTGGTGTCATTCACGATTGTGAAATGATGTATTTATATTCGATTCATATGTTAAGAGTTTCTATCACATGATCATATCATATATACATGATAGATCACATTCATGGGGGGTATAGATGTGTTGATTCTAGCATGGTCCAAACATCTGATGTGAGGTGTTGGTTATTTTGACGACACTGTTGGTGCATTGTTATGCACATCATAGTATGTACCATTATTTTGTACGATTTTACCTGTAGTATGTAACATTATTTTGTACGATTTTACCTTGGTGATACTGATATTTTATTATGAGTCTAACAACGTTTGTTTTACTAGACCTATGAGCCCAATATATTATATTGATGTTAAGCATTGTTGTAAAAATTGGCTTAAGCAGCCGACTAGGCGTGTGACGATCTGTTATTGATTAAGAATAGTGGTAATCTGTCACATTAACCAGACTCGGTCAAAGTCGGTTGAAAATCGATATAGGTGGTCAAAAAGTCAAAATTGCCAAAAAAATCAAAATTAATGGAAAGTCAAATAACTTTTAATTTTTGAGCGTATTAAAATTATTATGGACTTATTGTATAGTGGTCACTGACTTAAGTATTTACACACTTGAATATGACTATGTTTTATGAATTTAGGATCTTGAATTAGTACTCACATAGTTTGATTAATCCTTTATCTCTATTCGACTATCTGTCGATTTTTACAACCTAGGTCTCAAGTTACAAGTTATAGTTTGAATAATGAAGCTAGAGACAATTTATGAGTTGTGGAAAGACCCTCGGATAATATTTTAGATCTATATTTGGGGTTGGGAAGATAGCTTGACATTTGTTTTTTGATTATTGGTTAGACATCACTTTTTGATAAACTTATCGATGCAAAAGAAAATATTTTAAATATTTATGATTTTTTACTCATGTTTTAAAGAATTTATCTTTTTACAAAGTATAATGTTAATCTCAAACAAACCCTATCAAGGGGGTGTTGGCCCATCACTTTCTCAATTGTACCGGGGTCTTGGTTCAATTTTTAACTACGAAAGTCACAAAAAAAAAAAAGAAAAAAAAAAGAAGCAAAACAAGAAATGAATAAATGCATGAACGTCGACTGGTAACTGTCATGAATAAAATTGGAAAATGATAGAAGAAGACAAACAAAGAGGAAGCACATATTTTTCTCAGAGGCATTCAATCAAACACCTTATCTGCATTCTACTATCGTACTGCAGTTGCTTTAACTGAAGACCCTGTAACATTGTCGCTCTTCCTTTTTTCGGGGGAGAATTATTTGCCCATATCCTGTTTTGATTTGTTCGTTGTTTCTTGATTTGTCCCCATCATTATCTTCTGTTGCTTCCATTTCTCTGTACGCTTTGTTCCCTCCATGAATTTGTTTCATGTTCAAGAGAATGCCACGTTTTTTGGGTACAGTGTGATGTCCCTTTTGTCATAAAAGAGCACGCTTTAAGTTTTTCTTCCATACCCATTTCAAATTTCGCATATCAAATCATCAAAAAGAGAGGGTGAAAAGAAAAGCTCCTTTACCCATAATCCCATACAAAACCATTCGATGTTGATATTGTTTTAGGTTTTTATATTTTATATTTTTTTTTAGAGAAAATCACAAAAATAGGAAAGACTTTTACTGATTTTTTATACAAAATAACCACAAATTTTGTATTGAGCCAACTGCTATACACTGTTCACAATCATTTTCATACACAAATCATCAAAAGCCAATTTTATGGTTATTTTGATTTCCAAAACTTCTCTAATTACAATTATGATTTTTTTTGCTGTAATTTAAATGATTTTTTTTATTTTCTAAAAAAAGTTAATTTTTTATACGAAATTGATGACCACTTTTTATATATAAAAAGACCAAAGATGACTATTTTATTAAAATATTCCACCATTTTGACTACTTTTATGGTTTTCTTTATATATATATATAAACGGGCAACAAGCTGCGCCGCTAAGCCTTTTTGTATGACAAAATCAATTCTTTTAAAGACTACATCCATAGATCTAGGGGATATAACATTGCTATGCATGATCCGTTGTATTCTATTAAGAAGTTCTACCGCATCAGGCACGAGGAAACCAACCGTATCAAATGCAAATGGTATGAACACGTGTTGATTTTCCATGCACGATTTCTCATGTTTGGTGATTTTCCCTGTAGCAGCTTTTAAAATAGCCTGTCCCGCCGTGAAACCCCCAACCCTCAAGCCCAAGAGAGGGGATACCCCTGTAAGGTCCACACATGCGTGTTTCCCTCCAACCCATCCACAAATCAAAATGTCAGTCGGTCTGAGGGTTGACCTTCCTTCTGCCGGGTCAGTCAAGAAATTCACAAGTGCCTCTTTCTTAACGGAAACCCCGACACGCTTAAATATATCAAACAAAACACCCCTAACCATATCGTGCCTGTATTTGAACCCCGTGAGTTCTTTACAGTGAACTGCATGCTCTCCAAAAGAGTCCAAACATGCCTTGCGACACACCAGACATATCTCGTCAGCTGGGAATATTGGAATCATGAGTCGATATTTGAGAATAGTACGATACTCCACAGGAGACATATGTTGGCCAAACCCATCTATAGGGTTTGGGTTTAAGCCTTTGTTTGGTTTTTATTTTTCCGAAATGGATATTTTTTTAGCAGTAAATAGTGTTCCGACTTTAATTCTAAAAGTAAAAAGGGTTTGGGTTTTCATTCTGTTAAGTTTTTTATTTATTTTATTTATTTTAACAGGGAATGCATTAGAAACTAACATGTTGGTTATAGATTATGATACAAATAGAGGCAAGGGGACCACAAGTGAAAATACACACAAGCTGGTATTGATATATTCTAGAAAGGAGAGGAGAACAGAAAGGGAAAGTGTCTAAGAGTTAGATATGCCAGGAAAGAGAATAAATAGAGGAGAAAATAAGTCTATGAGATCATCATGTTATTTTGTGCTGTAATTATATTAGCTATTGTTTGCTTCAGTGAAAGAGGGATCATTCCCTGGACAATCTTTTGATTAGTTATTAATTACAATCATTCTTTTTTTGATTATCCATTCTCTTCCATTGTTCATTACAATTTCTTATTACACTGTTATATTGCTTATTCTAATTCCTAACATTGGTCCGACCTGCTACTGATCTGCCGGAGGAGAAGCTATGGCAACTACTCGTTCTACAACACATCGTTTAGAGGAGCATGATGTGTTACTTTCTCAGATTTAACTTGAATTAGGAGAAGTAAAGACCAACATGGATGCGATGCATTCCTCTATGCAGCAAGAACAATAGGCTAACTCAAAATTTCGGAAGACGATGCTCCTTTGGATGAAGAATTAGGGGAAGTCGCCCATCGTTGATGGATCTGGTGATTCGGGATCTCATATTTTTTTTTCCAGCCAAAACTTCCGTTTCCATCCGGATCGGGGGCCACACGTAAGAGTGGTTCGCCTTTTCCACAAGAGATTCACAACCAAACTCCGTCTGGTTTTCCTTGGACGGTGAAAAAAATCAAGCTACCAGAGTTCAATAGGTTCGATCCTCAGGGTTGGATTCAGAAGGCCTCCCTCTTCTTTGAAATTAATGGTACTCCTCCCCAATTTCGTATACGGTTAGCTCGGTTGAGTATGGTGGAGGTGGCGCAACACTGGTTTACCATTTTGAGTCAACTTCATGACCGGTTGACATGGGAACAATTTCAGATCGAGCTTCTTTAACGTTTCAGTGGCCTCGAAGTCCAAAACCCTTATAAGCAGCTTGCGATGATTCAACAATCAGACATAACTTTGGATCACATTGATGATTTTTAATACATCCTTTCTCTCGTTGCCCATTTTTATTGACCGTCAAACTATTGGATATTTTTTGGCTGGATTACAAGACGAAGTCCAACGTTGGGTTTGTCTGCAACGTCGTCATTCGACTTTGGAGGCGATGTATGCAACAAAAGACATGGACAATCTGCTCCGTCCAGTCTCCGGTAACGTGTCTCAAACCTATTTTCCTTATTTGAACCAATTTGGGGTGTCCAATGGCTCTTTTCCGGAGGTCACTACTGTATTGGGTCGTTATGAGTCCAAAGGGCCCGTTAATGTTAATCTGGGTGATAAAACGTCCATGGGTCGTAAGGAATTTAATCAGACTCCTTTTACCCCTAAAACGACTTTGTCTCCTTCTCCGAGCTTGGGGAAAAATCGCGACAGAGGATTCCGCTCCCTGACGCGTACAAAGTGGGAATAACATAGGAAGAAGGGTCTCTGTTTCTGTTGTGGTTTGCAATACGAACCTAATCATAAATGTACTGAAGGGAAACTTTGTGTTTTACTGCTGGGGGATGATGAAGATTACGAACAGGTGGATGATCTCCTACGTATCATGGATACGCTTCCTTCTGAGGCTCTAGAAGTCGAAATAGTTGATGAGGGTGTGTGCTATGCTTTGGAATTTACAGGAATATCCACCGAGACACTAGGAGGTAAAACCCTGAAATTTGAT